AGCGCATTCAATGGGTATTTCCTTTGTGCAGGTTCTGCATTATTCTCAAAATCACAGTGTTCACACTGAGTCTTTTTCTTTTTCATCAAACATTAAATATTTCCTTTCTTAGCACATTTTCTAATTAAATCCACAGGTTGCTCAGCAGCTCTGCTCATGGCTTGATCCCGCAGTCAAATGAGCAATCCTTTTCATTCATGGGTCAGATTGATGGGACTCAAAGAGGTAGCACTTATCTTTGATCACTGTACCTAGTGCACTAGAATATTAATTTTTTATTTTCAAAATAAAAGTTTCTGCCCTCTTGGCTTTTTAACTGTGAACAGAATAACCAAAGCAGTGACATCTGCATTAATGTCTGTCTAGGCACAAAATTGGTGTACTGTTAATCATACCATTATGGTTAAGTCATTTTATCCCTATTATTATACCAAAAAGAAGTACTTTAGTTTGGCAAAGCTTTTCCTGTGAGGGGAATAATACACAGCTGAAAAAGCTATTTATTCTGATATAATTTATTCTGATACATCTGTGTCCACACTAGACATTGTAGTTGCATAACTCTATTGTGGTTTTTTTTTTAAAGAAGAAAAGATGCAATAAATACACAAAAGAATCCAAAGAAGTAAATAGCTATACAATACAAAATCTGTATGTAGATAAGGCCTGAGTGTGTTGACAGCCTAAAACAGCATTCAAAGAGGCATAAACTACTCACATTCAGGCCAGTGGGGTGTTAACCCAAACTTTACAATTTTGCTATTTTTCCAGTCTGACACTGCTCCCATTGAGGTTAATGGAACTACTTGTTCTTGAAAGGACACAAAACGTTGGGCCAAACACAGACAATGGCAGTGCTCCCACTGATTTTGGCAAGAGCTGGATCATCTCCAGGATGCAGATGGAGGATCCAGAAAAGGAGGGAGGGCCCTTCAGTTGTGCCGTACATGTGCAATGAGCAATTTGAGCTCCTGGTTGGCTGGCATGGGGTCCTCGGAGGGCTGCACCTGGGCAAGAAGCTCTCTGAGCTCACTAGTTGGTCAGTTCGGGCTCTTGCCAGAACCACTGTGTTTACACAGCTCTGGAGCCCCAGGGGTGAATACTGCTGCTGAGCCGCATTTTCCCCTACCCCTGAATTCTCCCCTCTTCCCTGCCCCCGCCCTTACTTCTACCCAAGGCGATGCCCACATCCCAGTCCCTTAGAGACCTCAGCATGTACCTGCTCCTGATCCCATGACTTCAGTTGGGACTCTTGCTTCCCTGACCTTGTTTATTTCTGATCCCCTGGATTGAGACCCTCTAGTCTAGGGTCAAGGCCTAACCACACAGTTATATGATATTCCAGCTGTACCTCTGACATTGCCCTGCTACCCTTATTGGAAGTCTGTTTCAGGCTGTTATATTCTCTGCTTACAGTCTCTTGTATTTTCAGCCTCAATTTACTCCTGACCAGTTTATGCCCACTTGTTCTTCTGTCAACACTGTCCCTTAGCTTTTCTCACTTCCTGGTTCTTACACCATTGATCTATTTACAGAAAGTAATTATATCCCTACTTAGCCTTTGCTTTGCTAAACCTTAACAAGCCAAGCTGTTTTAATTTTTGTTGTAAAGCAGCATCTTAATCATCCTCTTCCATCTGCCTCCATTTCAATTTGAATTCTTTATTCCTGAACACAGGTGACCAGAACTGTATGCAGTACTCCAGATGAGATCTCCTCAGGATTTTGTACAGTGGCACTAATACTTCCCTGCCTCTATGGCAAATATTTTTCCTGATATATCCTAGTAATGCCACTTACCTAGTAATATAGTTACTTTTTTCATGGTGGCATCACCCTGGTGTCTCCTTGGCTATATGTAGACTGCAATGTACTGTAAAATACCCACATTGGTTCAGATGCCAGAAGCAGTCTAGCTACGGCTATATGGAATTCCACACAGGCTAACTGATTCTGTCAAGAAAACAGGGAAATTTAGGGACACAGGACCAGTGTTGTTTAAGAGATGGGAAATTAGCTCCCACAGACTTTCATGATACCATGGCTAGACTGATCCCAATCTAGTCAAGGTAGTTCATTTAAAGCTAAATTGTATATCTCTACCGAACACTGCTGTGTGCAGTATACATATACACATAATCATTCAGTGATTAATAATTTCACTTCTTTTGTGAGTTCCAGCTGATGAATCCTCAGCTAATAGGAGCCAACAACAAAAAATGCTGCTAAGTGCCTGGTCCTTGGACTATTAGATTTCTCTCCATTTCATAGATGGATCGGCTTTCTTGGTCATATCTGGCTTGATAGAACTGAGTTAAAAACTGCAACTGCCATTTTAAGTGGTCTGTTTTCCTGCCCTCCTTGGAAAGGCATTTGGAATCTTTAACAATTTCTTCCTTTCGGCTAGGCTTAAGAGGTGGATCTGACGATGGATCTTGGATGGACAGATCAATTGCTCTCCAGCTGAGTTGGTTCTATTGGTCTGTTCATTTCTACCTGAACCCATGACAAACAACATTCTAATCAGCCTCAATTTTCCTTGGTTCCTTGTGTTGTTTTTCTGGATTGACGTGTTATGGAAGAGGCAAATCTTCAATGGTAGTTGCTGACACAAAAGGAAGATCACAATTAAATGAATCTACTGTGGATGTCCTCACCTCTCCAGATCAAAATAAGGGAGTGTCATCTGCTTCTTTTTCCATCAGAAATTGTTGCTGTCTTTCATGAATTGGTTGACAGGGTGGCACCATATTTAGAATCATCAATTCCTTCAATATTAAAAAAAAAAAAAAAAAGAAGAGTGGAAGATTTGTATATCTAAGGTTCTCAAACATTCGTCAAGTACACACCCCAATAACTCAGGGGAAATCAGTCCATTGGGAAGAGTCCTCTTTCTAAGAATGGTTCCTTGTGGTAAGGAATTTCAAAGTTTTCCTTTCAGCACCAAATCTCAGTTCCCATTATTTTGTCCTTCCTTCACTTATGCAAAAAATTTAACTAAAGATTTTCCTAAGCCTTTATTTCTTTGAGTATCTTTTTCCAGGTCAGCAAGAATCTGGCACTGCCATTTCTGATATCATGAAGTAGATTTTTCCCTACTTCCATCTGGACCCTTTACATCTTGGGTACTCCTAGAGGACAGCACATTCTTTCATTTCTGGTGACAGGCTTGACAATTCATCTTAGTCACAAGTTCCTAATCACACAGACCTCAGGCTCAGGTGTGAGCCACAGGCTTTTCTTCTGTGAGCAGTTCATCTTGCTTTCCGTTCTTTCTAGCAGTCCCCTATATAGGATCTTCCTCTTCCTTGGAATCTAGTCTCTTCTCTCTTTAGCAGAAATCAGAGAGCAGTTGCTCAACTCTGTTTCTGTTCCACTATATGATCTCTTCTCTGACTCATACTTGTGGACACATTCTTCTGTGGGCCATCTGTTGCTCCAGATCTCCTTGTTTAGTAGTGGCCTGTAATCCTTGAACATTCAAGATACCTTCGTCTCTTCCTACCACCATCATGTCTTCAGATAGTTGTCTGAACTCCACCATCATATTCAGCTACATCTTTAGTCCTCAACTCGTCTTCCATAGCTCTTTCAGGGGAAATATCAGATAGAAATTCCATGAAGAACTCCTCAAGGATAATATACATCCCATAACTATGTATCCAGTCACTTCTGTGATCTCTTACTCCATTACTCTTGTAATGTTGCACCAGGAGTTATCATCATGGTCTCTTTGTAGGAGGGAGTTTGGAGGATTTTCATCCCTTCTTTTTTAGGCTAAGGAATACTAACTCCCACACCAACTCCTTTGTTTGAGATCTTATGTCTTTTACTGGTATGTCTGCTGGTGTTCAACACAATTTATTTTTAAGCTAATGAAATCACATTATATTATCAAAAAATATGCATTTTCCTAAAAATAATTTTGTTACTCCAAATTGCCTGAAAATGTTTCAGAGAATGCTAAATAAAAGGAAGTAGTTCAGACATTAAAAATGTAGTAACCTGGTACATTTTTTAGAGATACATCATGAAGATATTTTTAAAAGGACTAGGCTTGTAAAAATGAGCATAGAATATGCTTCTGGTTCTAGTAATAAACAGATCTGTTTTTATGAATCCAATTCCCTCTAAAATCTTACTATATGGGCTCTATTGAGCACTACTTTATAACGCTGCCTTGTTGCTGTACAGTAGATAAGACATTCTACTGTAGGACAACACAGGGCATGATTTGGCCCTTGGACAGAGGCAAATGATGATGCTCACACTGACAGTATCTTCCTCCAAAAAACAGGCCCACTGTCTTCAGTAGGACTACTCAGAGAATAGTATTCAACAGGTTGAAGAAGATTTCCACCTATCACCTATTAAACCCTTATTTTTTAAAAATGTTACGTGCTAGAACATATCAGTTAGAGGATGTCTACACCACACAATGTAGTGGCATGTAGGAGATATTCAAGTTAACTCTGATTTGACTTAGCTCTGGTACCAGAAGTGACAATAGCCATGGTAGTACAACAATCCACAGGACTGATTTACCAGGATGATATTTCATTACCCAGCTTGGGTATCTGTACATACTACACTGCAAGCTGTAGATATAGCCTCAGGTTCAGTCAGTTATTAATATCATTTACACTTGTGCCATCCCACTGAAGTCATTTACATTATGCTGATCTGAGGGTAGCATTTCTTGAAGTGCTTCCTAAGCTGGCACTGTAGTGTAGTAGTGACAGAAGGGTTCTTGTGACCAAGAAGCACTGCTTTCAAATAGGAAACCCATTTTGCTGAAGAATGCACTTTTCTGTCAATAGAAGCATCAGGTTGCTTACAACTCAAGAAACACCAGACCCACCCTCATTTACATTCTTTCACAACCAGTAAAGTAGCAGTACCTATAAATATTTTTTCCATCTAGATATTTTCTTATATTACATCTGTTCTCCAAGCACATACAAAGCCATCAACACTGCTTCTTTTGCCTTTCTACTTACTCTTCTTTCCTGTGAAGTTCTTCCTCAGACTCTGAGAGACGTTGTTTCAGCACTGCAATCATCTCAACTGCAACATCTACCTGTCTGTTCAAGGCCCTCTCTCGCCTTTGAACTTCCTGTTTCTTCTGAGAGAGCTGCACAAAAGCTGCCCGAACTTCCAGCAGTTCAGCAGTTTTTTGGGCCAACTCTTTGCTAAGCCTGTCAATTCTCTTCTCTATTGTTTTATCTACAGCTTCCACCATCATATTAAACTTTTCTCTTACATGTGCCTCAAAAGGTGCTTTTGAGTCTGGTGTGGGAATCCCAGGTTTAGAAATTTGCTCATCAGGGGAGTTTGCTGGTATGTAATTTGCGACAAAAGAGACAGGCCTTTCAGCTTCCACCTCCAGCGATTTTCTATTTTTTGTGTTCTCATGTGATATATCACAAAAATTTATGTAGGCTGGGTTTTGTTTTACTGCATTGCTGGCTTTCCCCAGTTTTCCTTGAGTTGAGGCCTCTGAGGAAGAAAGCAAATCTGCATCTTTGAGGGAGGAAGGTAGGTTGCATTTTGTCAAAAGACTTCTGTCCTCATAACTATGATTATACTCCAAATGTGCCCTCAGAGAAGACAGGCTTCTGAATCTGGTGTGGTCACCACACCGTGGGCAACGAAATGGCATGCAGATACTGACATTTTCAAAAGATTCTGGCCAGGAATATCTGCTTTCTTCAAAAGTGTTCTGTTGCATTACTCTCAGATTCCTGTAAGAAAGAAAAGATGGATTCATTTGAAGGTTGTGTTAAAAGAAGTCCTTATCTCTTAATGAAAAAAACAAACCTTTAAACTAATTTTCAAGCCTGCTTCTGGGAAAAGCAACCAGAGACGTCTCATCCCAAAGTGACACAACAAAATAGTTACAAAGATTTTTTTGTTATTGCAAAACTAGGGAAGTTGCTATATGCTCACTAGAGAAGCTGAAACATGACCCTAAAGAACTTGTTTAGCAGACTGTACAAGAAAGTGATGTGAAAGAGGTTTAGTTTGTAGTGCTCTGCACTCAGAAATTAATATCTTACTATGCTTTTTTCTGACATTAATTTGTTATTCCTGTTTCTGACAGATCAAGGCCAGGGAGATGGCTGCATTAGCTATGTGGAGCAGCAAGCAAGAAGACCTTTGCATCTGTTGTCTTTCACGCAAGACAACAGATGCAAAATTTCCTACTGATGTGTACGGATCCGGATGCAGAGAGGTGCCAGGACTGGGCTGGGAGTCTCACACCCTGGCAAGCTCAAGGAGGCAAAGGTGGGGTGTGCATAGGGGGTCAGCAGGCAGGCAGAGAGCACGCCAAGCTCAGTGAGACAAGGTCACTATTTCTGCACAGGCTTGGCCAAGCTCCAGCCTGCGGTGCCTGGGTCAGCACAGCACCATTCAGCAGGGCAGGGGGCCTGGCCCCAATTGTGCCAGGGTGCGGGCTCCGTCCATCTCCCCCGCGCGCCTCCCTCCATTGGCAAACGCATGCCAGGACTGCAGCAGGCACGTCGCCTTCCCCCGCTGCAGCGAGCGCCACTTACCAGACTTGTTGCTGCCGCCGCGGCCGGGGCTGATGCTGCGGGGAAAGTCGTTTTCAGCAGAGCCGTAAATCACGCTGAGCCCGGCGCGGTCCCACCTCCCAGCGCACCCCGGCGCGGAGCGGGCGCGGGGAGGAGCCGGGGGCGGGGAGCCGGAGCTGCGCGGGCCCCGTTTCACCGGGGCAGGGGGAGCATTCCGGCGATGGGAGGAGAAAGACAAGGGAAACCCGGCCATAAATGAGCCCCGGTCTAGTCGTCTAGGCGCTGTTAGGAGGCAGGAACAAGCTCTTCAATGAGGCGAAGGGATGGGGAGGGAAGGGCTTGGGCCTTTTGCATTGCAGTGGGTTTGGTATAGCTCAGAGTGTCAAGTTGCAGCAAGGCAAATTTAGGTTAGGTATTAGGAAACATTTTCTCACTAGGAGGGTAGTGAAACACTGGAACAGGTTACCCAGAGAGGTGGTGGAATCCATCCTTGGGGGGTTTCAAAACCTGGGTAGACAAAGCTTTGGCTGGGATGATCTGGTTGGGGCTGGTCCTGCTTTGAGCAGGGGTTGGATAGATGACCTCCTGAGGTCCCTTCCAACCTTAATTTTCTATGATTTGTCTTGCCTGACTTCATAGGGATTTTGCCCCTGAGTTCAGTAGGAGCCAAGGGAAATGCTCCTTTGCTAGCCACGACTGTGTTCTCAGGTGGGAAGGATGCTTGGGACTGAGAGAACCAGGTCAAGTCCAAGCCAACCTGATACAATTATTGGCAATAATCCAGTAAAAATTGCAGACTATGGGGAAATGAATAGGGAGCCCATGTGTTTCTCTAGGGTGCGCATTGGTAACATTTACTACCAAATAAATTGACTTTAGGGCTCTGTAGAAGTGGAGCAGGCTTGTGACGCAGCTTTGCAACGTAGTTAAAGTACTTGAACCACACTGTTCAACTTTGAAGTAGCTGGGGACTGCCCAGTGGGGGGCGTGGGCCCTTGGCGCTACATGCCACCCCCACACTGCACTGCACGGCCCACCATGGCTGCACCCCATGCCCAGGTATCCCCGCTTGCACTGCAGGCAGGATGTCTTCCCACTGTGCCTCCCCTGCTGCACCATGCTCCCAGGTGCTATGCTGCTGTACAAAGCACCCCCCTGCTGCTGCTCCCCAAGCCTCCTTGCTGCACTGGGCACCCCAGCCCCTTTGCTGCTACCCACATATCCCAGCTGCACTGTGCATCCAAGCACCTGACTCATCTGTGGCTTCCCATGCCTGAGTTTCCCCACTGCACCACACCACTCAGGCATCACGGGCTGTGGGCTAACCTGGCACTGAACGCTGTACCGCCCTGCCTCCCAGGGTGGGAAGGGGAAACCAGGAGGAAGGGGAGCCTGGAGTCCCCAGCCAGAACAATGGGGTAGCAGTGGCTGGGTGGGAGTCCAGGGGTGGTAATTTAACCCATTGCAGGCTGCCATTTGGACAGCCCTACTTGAACCCAAAGCTAAATCAGTTGTTGAAAAAACTATGTAGAAACTTTACTGTGTAGGAATGTCATTATGTGGAACATGTATGGCTGCTCCCTTGGTCCAAACCTGGGACAGTCATTTGCTCAATTGCAAAACAGCTTCTCTACCACCTAGTTACTACTAGTGCCTACTTCCCAACAAGCAGCCAGCTGGTCATATGTCTACTCCTTACTACAAATTAATTTATGATGCAGTAAATCTGGAGTGAATGACTCTGTAAGAACTGTGTTTTGCATCTGCACTGTAACTCCATTGGGTTTACATTACCTGTCTGATACTAACTTTGTTCCTTTGACTTCAACCTATGCTATGCTGTTTAGTATCTCTTGATATTATATCATGTTTTTTTAGTATTTCATAACATTTTTGCAAGCAATATAGTGCATGTAAGTCTGTAGCAAGGGAGAGAGAAAAAGCTATTTAAGATAAAGTACAATGCTGGCACAAGAACAAATGGATATAAACCAGCAATGGATACTTTAAGGTTGGAAATTAGAAGGTGGTCTCCAGATATCAGGGATTCTACAACAGCCTTACAGTTGGCGTAGTGAAAGCATAAAACCTTAAGTTGTTTTAAGATGGCATGACAAATTTAAGAACAGGATTATATGATGTAGTTGCTCATAAGAGCAGGGGACTAGATTTGAAGACCCAGGAAATCCTGTCCTTTTCTATTTATGTTATATGAGACTACTGTAATTTTTTCTTAAGTTAATGGGCTGGAGAAAGAACATTTTAATAAATGATTCTTTGCTCTTGGAGAGCTCTGCCATATGTTGCTCATATGCCAGAATAAGCTCACAAAGACACAGTAGACCTTGCAGATTTTTAGTAGTGACTATATTAGTAGTCAGTAACTAAAGGAGGATTTTTTTTGTGACAAGGAAGGCCCTAATTCTATAACAGCATTCATACTGATATACTGTTCTGCCCGTGTGGCTTTCAACTGCATGATCAGAACTTCATGTTATTGGTATTACACAGAGAAGGATCGGGAAAGTGGAGGGGTGCACTAGTGCACTTGCACCCCACTTTGATTCCTGCTCCACCCAAAGTTTAAAACTAACTGCCTGGCAGAGGCATTTCTAGTCAGGCAGTGCTGAGGGAGTCAACTGACTTCAAGGCATATTACAATCTACCTGATCCCTTCTAAACTCTTAATTCTACAGGTGTTAATGACCCTCTCTTTTTAAAATGGATTTGATGTTCCACCAGTTAAGCTATTCTTTGTTCTGAAGTGCTGCTGTCTGTTAGCTGCTCCTATTTTACAGCCCTGCAGTTGTTTTTAACTCATACCAATGAAGTTATATTTGTTTTTACTTCACTTCTAAATTGAACAATACAGCGCTAGGCCCCTGGCTTATTAATAAAGCCTCTAGCTTATTTTTCATTAGAGAAAAATATGTGTTGTTTTATATATGATGATGCACCTCACCATCTGCACTATCCCCGTCCCTTTTCTAAATTCTAGATCTGCCCATGGTGTTATTGGAAATGGACCCTTTCAATAAAAGATAAGATTTTAAAATTTGTTTGGGTATTCTTGACCATTATACACATTGTTGCAAATCTTAGGAAATAACATTAAGACTAGCCCAGAGGTGTATGTCTGTTGGGGTAATAGGGAAATGTCACTCTTCTAAATGGTAGTGTGTGAGATCTTTATTCTACCATGCTAAGGTATTTTTAAATTTGGGACAGGGAAATACTGAAATATTTAACACTGTTATAGTACATCTCTTTAATAAGTAAATTATATAAGCATAGATCTAGATGTTGGAAGCACATTGATAAATGCCTTTGTGATTAAGACAACCCCATAAATGATTCAATAGATGATACATCAAAGAAAATTATTTTTATTGCATCTTAGAGCATCATCTAATCCCTTAAGTCTGTGGCTTATTACCCATGCTGAAATGTTTCATAGTTTCTAGGGTCGGAAAGGACCTGAGCAGATCATCTAGTCCGACCCCCTGCCGTGGCAGGAAAGAGTACTGGGGTCAAATGACCCCAGTAAGGTGGTCATCCAACCTCCTCTTAAAAACCCCCAGGGTGGGAGCCTGCACCACCTCACTTGGAAGCTGGTTCCAGACCCTAGCCGCCCTGACCATGAAGTAGCGCCTCCTGATGTCCTGATGTCATGTACTGTTTAATAGGGCTGTGCTAAATTTCGCTGGCTGTTTTGTTTCAACACTGTTTCGACTCATGTAGAGCTTGAAACAGCAAAATCAAAATGAAATGAAGGGCTTTGAAACAGTCTTGAAACAAAACAAAGCTAGTCAAAATGTTTTGAAAGTTTTGAAGCAGTCAGCAGCCAGGTGGTGGGAGGCAGGGGAGAACCAGGGCTGTGCTCCGAGGCTCCACAGCCCCACGTGGCTCAGCCAGACGGAAGCGCAGCCCTGCCTCTCCCCACCTCCCATGGCCAGGCTGCAGGAAGCTGATCACAGAGCAGGGGAAGGGAACTGAGCCCAGGCTCAGCTCCCCTCCCCAGCGCTTCAGTCAGGCTGGGGAAGGGAACTGGGCCCAGCTGAGCTGAATTCCCTTCCCGAACACCAGGATCAGGCTGGGAAGGCAACAATCGGGCTAGGGAACTCAGGTAAGCTGGGCTCAGTTCTTTTCCCTCCTGGCTTCCCTCCCCAGTACCTGGCTTCCCTCCCTCATCTGGAGGCAGATCGGGGGCCCACAACCCTGGGAGGAATGTCACAGGCCCCACAGCTCTCCCGGGGTTGTGGGCCCCCAATCTGTCTGCTGGATGAGAGAGCCTGTTTCTAGCTTCCCCATTATAGCCTATGGGCGAAGTGTTGAAACAGCATCACTGTTTCTACAAAACGAAACGGAACAGCAGTTTCGAATAGAAATGAAATTTGAAATGAAATGCTGTTCCATTGAAACCTCGAAATGCAAGTCGAAACAGAATGGTGCTATTTCGCTCAGCCCTACTATTTACCTTGCATTACATTGTCATAATGTAACAGTCTGACCTTTTACTGAAGATTCGATGCTGATTGGGAGAATCAGGGATTTGGCCATAGACACAGCTTTAAATGCTTTTTCTACATACCCCAAGGTACCAGGAGCAGCTCGTGAATGCTGCGATGCTGGGGCAGATGGAGCATCCCACAGAAGTGCAGGGGGGCCGGTCCACTTCCGGCTGAGCGCAAGAGGGCTGAACACAAAAGTACTTCCGGTCCACTTCCGGGTCCACCACCAAATGCACAGGGGGGCCTTCCTGCACCCCCTGGCTTGGCGATCAGCCATGGGGCGAGCCCAGGTGTCCCCCCAGACCCAGAAGGCACCAGTCACTGAGCTGGGAGGGTGCAGGGGCCCCACAGCGCGCTCCCCAGTGGACCTGGAAGTAGACCAGAAGTGCTTCTAGTCCACTTCCAGGTCTGCTGCCAAGTGCGCTGGGGGGCCCCCATGCTTCTGTGGGGTACTCCATCTGCCCAGCGTCACAGCATTCACAAGCTGCCTGATACCTTGAGGTAAGTAGAAAAAACATTTAAAGCTGTGTCTATATCCGAATCACCGAATCTTTCTGAATCTCTCCAAATCAATTCGGAGGGTTCCGATTCAATTTAGAGAGATTAAAGGGTCTCTTGAATCAATTAGG